GGAAAGAGGGGAAAACTTAATACCAGGTGTTTTCATGCCTAAATAAGTGGAATTAATTTCCTTTCTTGTGCTGGAGTTGGGGATTGTTCTTGTCACTGAAAAACTCTCCTTCCTTTCTCAGCTTGTAGCTTTTCCTTAAAGCACTATTCTAGGGAATTGGCAACCATCTCCCTTTAAAGCTGGTGTGTGATGGCTGGAGCTCGCCCCACTTTGCTCTTGCAAGCTTTGCAGATGAGGAAGGGAATATCCTGCAGTGTCAGTAGCAACTTCAGTGAGCAGGGGATATCGTAGCTCCCCATAGAAAGCAGGAGATGCAAACTAAGCAGTCATGCCACGAATGTTGCAGCATAAGGCATGATTAAACCATTTAATAATCTCCTAAAATGATACATATAGTGAAGGAGAGGACAGAATCAGCTTGATGTGTAAGGATAGTTTAGAGTTGTACTTCCATGCAGGCCTTGACAAAAGGAGAGCAGCTGGAAGCGAGGTATGAGGGAAGAGGAATGTAAGTGCTGGGTGACTCATAGAAAAGTGGCCAAGGCTGCAAGAGCCTCAAGTATGAAAGAAGAGGCAAGGGGGCAAGAATTCACTAATGACGAAGTATTGTGTGTGGTTGTGGGTTTTTTTTTTTTTTTTTGCAATATAACTATGAAAATGTGTTCTGCTTCACACTTACTCAGGCTTCAAGTCTTGATGCCTTACTTTATGCTGTTAAGTATTTATGTATATTCTTTTATGTAGGCCTACAGCTGAATTTTACCATGACCTGGGGAGACTCTCATTACCTTGGACTGACTGGACTTGAAGTGATAGGAAGGGATGGCCAAGCATTAAAAATAACTACAGAACAGATTTCTGCATCACCCCAAGACTTAAATGATCTTCCAGAGTATGTAGGAGATTCCAGAACATTAGAAAAGTAAGTAAGGCTTGAAATGTCTAAACATTTTCTGCAATGTTTTGCCTTATGCCAGCTCTGCCAGTGACAGTCTGCTGGATTCTTATCAATCAACAGTTTCAGGAGTTTAGCAGTTTTTAGGTTTTATATTTTGCTTCAAAGATTATAGTGATTAGATTATATAAGCTTTATATTACGCTTAACACGTGTTAATGCAAAAATTATTTCTGTACCAACATTGCTTGCTCTTAGGTTTCACAAGTTACCCAGGCGCTGCTTATTGTAGAAACATAAAGATTTTTCCAAAACAGGATGGCAGAATTAGAAGATGTTAACATGCCTGCTTAGTATCTCTGCTCAGGACTTTCCAAGCAGAAATGTCTCCTTTATAGCATCTATCTATGCATATGCAGTGAAACTTAGTCAGTATTTTTGAGGGAGGGGGGAAATCAAGGAAAAATTTCTAGTTAGAAAAAGTCAACAACTTATTAGGTATTTAGTGTTGTTACTTTTGGCAATCTTGCAGCTTCTCTCTTTTAACCTATTTTTATTGAAGCTTTTTTTCATTACCATGTATGTTTCCTCAAATTACCTTGTAGTTACTAAATGGTAACAATATAGAAATCATAAGATTTAACTCTGGGGAGGACTTGGCATTATTGTTATTGAAGCTGCATCCTGTTTTTTTAATTGTAAGAGTAATTTCAATTCTAATTCTGCCTTCTAGCATTTTTATGGTCTCCTGATAGGTTTATGATAGACCCTCTCTTTTCAGTCCTTGTTGAGTCTTTCTTAAAATACTGTATTTATCCGCATAGACACTAACTCTGTTCGTTATTACTATTCCTGCTAATTTGACTAATATGGATGTTGAGCATGCTTGTCTGTGATTTTCCAGCTCCTCTGAAGAACTCTGACTAAAATTATCATCACTTGCCACCTTTCCCATTCCCTGTTATGAAATCAGTTTTAAGGTTTGCTTTTATGTATGCATTTAGCCTTCCAGAGTTTATGATCCTTTTTATTCTCTTTGTTTCTTCATAACTTCTGCTGAAGGGTGACTTCCAATAACTTTATTCATCCTGTCACTAAGTTTGGCTGGGTTCTTTTTTTTGAAGTCCTCTCTTTTTCTAAAGTCTTTCTTAGTACGTGGAATACATTTGTTCTGTGCTTGCAATATGATGCACCATAATATTCTATATTCCGAGTGTGGCATTCTTGTTTCTGTGTGCACAAGCCAGTGCACAAAGGAAATTGCAATGAGGTCTTATTCTTTTTTTTACCCTCTATTTGTGGGTCCATAGTTTGTGGTGGGAGATACTAGGCTAAAACGAAGAAATAATTAAATTTATCTAGTAAGCCTGAAATGTATGTTCTTACAAGTAGGTGTTTTTCTACTACTTGTTTTTGTTTTGTTTAAAGGGTTATGCTCAACTGCGCACATACAAAAGGGTGTGAACAAGCCCTGCTTCTTCCCTGAGCTCTCCTCAGCTGCCATCCACCTCCTTGCTGGAATCAATAGAGTGGTGTTAGTGCAGTAATACGCTGCAGAGTGGCAGGCGCAGAGCTTAGGCATGGAATTATATTGATAAATTGTATGGCTTCTTTACCTTCAGCTGTCATGCAAATGTGGCAGGGCTTTCCTCTGCCTGCTCTCATGCATAGAAGCGCAACTTGAGAATTTTATTTTTTTAGCTTAAATATATCCAACTCGAGGAAATGTTGTGTCTTTCCTCTCCCTTATCTTTAATTAGATGATTGCATATTATTTTTGATGTTTACTGCGCTTTTTAATTGAGTGCACAGAGACATAATAAAGCTGTGTTTCTACAAGTGGAAATTAGAAAAATTTTAGCACCTCGTAAAGCACCTATTTTTCATGAGGAAAAACAACCTTTTCCTTTTTGCCGCTAATGGATTTTTCTCTTTGCAGGTTAATAGATGGGACTAATATCACAGCTGAGGATGACCATATGTGGCTTATTCCCTTCTCTTTTGGAGAAGATCATCTGTTCACAATCCATTTTGATAAAATTGAAAGTATTGCTGGGCTTCGCTTTTGGAACTATAATAAATCTCCAGAGGATACCTATAGAGGGGTAAGTAAAAGAAAAGGAGCCAGCAAAAATATACAGCAGTGCATTGGGAAATTGGTACTGTGATAAATGAATATAGCTATCTTAATGGAACCCCATAAATCTTTCTAGATTGTCTGCCTCTAAGTTTTGTGGCAGGTGTAATGCATTTCTGTCTCCACAAACAGCAAATATAGGGAAAAAATGGCCAGGGATAGTTTAAAGAAATTTTCACAGCTGATTTTTCCAAGCCACACATACAATACCACATACTATTCTCAAGATATATGATGCCAAAATGGTATCCTTTCAGTATCTAGGATTTAGGCCTGCAGTATGGATTCTTTATTTCCTGCAGCACAGGGCATGATAGAACATGGGATACATCTGAAGAGATTTTCTGTGGGAGAAGAGTTACAGAAAGCAATATTTATGTCAACTTTTTTGTGACTTGAGAGCTTCTCAATATTTCTGGGCATCTTGCTTTTCTTATGTTTGTCACTTTTCAAAATTATAGTGAGTATTACCTTTCAAGATAGCCTCAAGTATGTTGGGTCATTGTTTCATGTAGATGTTCAGCCTCAATTAGCCCAAATAAATCTTACAATTCTATTGTGCAAGGAGAAATGATGTCTTTAATTTGCTATATAGGACACTGACTATAAATGTGAAACTGCTTAGTTAACTGTAAGATGTTGAATAGAGATTTGGTGCACATTTATAAAACAAGGAATAAAAGGGAATTTCTCTAAACTTGCATCATGAAGTCTAAGGTTCTCTGCATATGGCCACATCATACATTTTTTTAAACTTGGTTTCCATTTTTAAATACAGTCTAGCATTCAGTTTATAGTATGCTGAACTTATGTACTTGTTAGCCAGTTCAACCAAAAATAGCTACTGCTGGCAATGTCATACTTGGCTGATATAAGTATCAACCTTGTTTGATTGTATTGAGCCCAGTCAATCAATACTGCCCCTTCAAGAAGAAGGAAGAGTCTAGAACACTAATACTTGTTTGGAAAAGTTGACATCAAATTGGCTAAAATTGTTTGGCAAACTAACGTATGTCCTCCCTTTTTTTCTTGCTGCTTGTGTCAAATTTCATACGTTGGGTGTGTGTATATATACGTGAGATGTACATATATGTATATTGTTGAATTTTTGGAATAAATGGCCAAATGACACCCGTTGGAGGGCATGTGCTACGCCCAGCTAGTGCTGCAAGTCTCACCATCACTTCTTTCCCTGTTTTAGTTATCAGAAGATACACATGGAGTTGTAAGAAGAATGATAAAGTAGTTGTTCACTGCACAGAAATCTTATAAACCTGTATACAAAGGGAAAGATTTGGAAACACAACCTAGGTGTTCTTGACTTGCGAATTGAGTCAGTAATTAAGAAGAAAAATGTTAATAAATATGAAGCTAGCGACAGACAAGCCAAAAAGAATCCATAGAACTTGTGAAAAAATCTCTATGATCAAAGCTGGAGGCTTGGCTCTTTCATATGATTGGGCAGGATAATGGCAGAGGTTGTAGAACTGCTTCTCTGTGCACGTTTGCCTCCATGATTACCTTTACATGGACACTGATGGGAAGTATTCCCTCTCCAAACCTGAGCCCTGGCATCTTGTAATAGCATCATGCTGTGTGGCAGAGTGACAGTATGTTGCGATTAAGCTGCAATTGATATATCAACTCCCAGATTTTGAGGTGGTGTGCTTCTGTGTATGGGTTGGGTTTTCATTCATTAGTCTGAATGAAATATATTTTCAGCAAAGCAAGGGACAAGATTTCTGCTGAGTCACAATAAAGATACTTGAGACTGTAGACCCTAGGGTGTTAAGAAGCTTTTTTTCTTGAAGTACATTGTTGCTTCTAAGCTGCAGTCCCCGGATGTAATAGTATCCTGATTTGCTAGGCAGCTGCAGGTTGGTGAACTCTATTTATAGGTATGGTGTGTGAGGGTGATGGCAATGAACTGCCAAAATGAAGGCTCGTGTGCTATTTCCAGCTGTATGAAAAATTACCTTTTGAAAGCTTTGTTATGCGCTGAGTAAAATGCTGTGTTTGATGGTTGAGCGCCTTCTCACTGATGAAAATTACTCTAGAAATGAGGGCTGTAAGGCAGACATAAATGTAAGCAGCTGTGGTAAAATAGGCAAGATTTCATCTTTAAGTCTCTAGACCTCCCATTTAATAACTGCTACCTAAACTAAAGCACATTTCAGTGAATTTGCATTTCCTCTCCCAACTTGGCAGCCTCGTTCAATGGAAACCAGTGTGCAGAGCAGTTTATAGTGCAAAAACGTTCCCTCCTTTTGCTTCCAAGCTTTAATAAAAGGTGAAACAAGAAATAGTTATTTTTTACCTCCTTGATACTCTTACAAACAATCTGTCAATCTTCATGCTCTCGTGGAACTGGAATGGTCAGCCCTCCCAGTGAAGTACCTGCTTTTTTCAAACCAACAGTTGTCTATATTTTAGAAAAAAATCTTTAAAAGATTTGATTTTTTTAGGATATTTCTTCTATAACTTTCTGAAATTATAATTAGAAAAGTAGGTTTGTAAATGGCAAAAATATGAAAACTGTTGTGACAAGTAATCGACAATATATGGGCTTTACAGAAAACCGTGAAGTCTTTAAGTTCTTAGCCTGACATTTGAAATGGAAAATTTCTCAACTATACATTACTTGCATTTTATTAATAGAAATCCTAACAATTGATGGAAATAAAATGTTTGCATGCAAAACTAAATTAACCTCAAATTATCATATATACATACCAATGTAAAATCAAAAGATGGGAAAAACTGACTCACTTTACTTTTAGACTAGTTAAGTCTTTTGTGAACTAAGTGAATTCTGATTCACTCCATTAATCAGCAAGTTTTGAATCATAATAACATCTTGTTTTATTTTACAGGTGATGTTCTTCCGTTATCTAATAGTTACTGAAGGACTCAGTGCAGTACATGCCCCTTCTGATCAGCTGAGTCAGATTTAACAGATATCAGGGCAAGATGCAATGATAATTGTTGCTGTTGTTGTGACAGGGATCATGCATGTAATATCAGGTGGTGCTAATGGAAGGGGATGGAGGGGTTGACAAGGCTCCATCTTCTGAACAAGGGTGCCTGAATTATTTAGTTTAATTTTTAGGCACATATGCATCTGTGGTATGGTCAGAGCTCAACCTTTTTGTTTGGAGTGGGTACCTCCCCTTTATTCATATGCCCTTATGTTACCCACCAGTGCTGCTTGGTAGATGGGACTGCATGATCTGGAAAAGACCAAGTGTCTCCTGCCACAAATACAAATGGAACTGATTGACAGCAGGCTTTCTAGAAAGGCAATGCAGGCACAAAGAGTCTCTTACAGAAGAACTGAACAGGTTATGTGATTGCTTAAAGTGCTGAGCAATGTAACCCAATCGAGCAGTGCATTCAGGTGCAGGATAAAGTACCTCTAACCAGCTCCTCAAATACGCTCTGGAGATGCCTGCAGAATTTGAAGCTGGATCCCCCTGTTCTGTTGATGCATGTGCTGCTGCAGGCTCAGTTTGTTGGGGGCTAGTAAAGATCCCGTAACTGAAGAAGCTCTCCAAATCCTCCCCATTCCCTCCCCAATTCCAGCCTCTCCTTCCTCAGTAATCATAGCAGCTGTTGGTCAGTGCTGGCTAGGATGCTCTGAATTGGTGGTGTGGACTGCAGCCAGCATCTCTTGCCTTATGTTTCTTGAGTGCTGGTGTGTGGTAGAGCAAAGAAACAAATGCAACAAAATTACTGAAACAACTCTTTCAACTTATGAAATTAATGTGATTGCATTAGATCTATTTTATTTTGCTGCATGTTCTTCTTTTTAATTAGGCTAAGGTAGTCCATGTTTCGCTGGATGGTCACAGCATCTCCCCACCGGAGGGATTTCTTATCCGTAAGGGACCAGGCAACTGCCACTTTGATTTTGCCCAAGAAATTCTCTTTGTTGACTACCTGCAGCCCCAGCTGATTATGAGAGCGCATAGGAGGTAAAGAAGGATGTTTTACTATCAAAACAACCCAATTTTTCTTAACTGTTTAGTATTCTTTTTCTATTCTCCCTTGAAGCAAATCTATATGAAGCACCTGGGTGAAAGTATGAAGTACTTGGAGCAAAATATTTTGCTGCATTTTTAAATTGCATGCTGTTTCCATGGTTTCCTAAGATCAGAGTTTCAGGACTCTGCTCCATAATCTCAGAGCTACTGTGGATTGGTTTAAGTTCTTTGTTTCCTTTGCTCTTTTCCGAATGAGCCAAGAATGTACTAAGGAACTGTTTTTTGTGTTCCTTACTTTTGCAGGACTGGTTCAAAGAGAACAGAACGAGCTAGTATGGACTATGAAGCACCATTAATGCCATGTGGTTGTATCCTTCTCTGTTATTTTCGACCTTTTTTATGGTGTATAATAACTTGGAATTAGGTACTGCATGAATACTGACCCTTTTGAATATAACGGTTTCTGGTGTTTTAAGAAAGTGAACAAGATATCAAGAATATGAGAATGGCATCATTAAATACATATTAATAAATGTAATATATAAATATGAATGTATGACATACACAGTATCTAGCAGCCGAGTAATTAATGCAAATGGAGAAATACAAGAATACAAAAAAACCATGTTTTGACACTCGGAATACCTTGCTAGTGCAGCTAGAGTACCAGCTGTATGCTGCTCAGAGGATGTCCAAGGCAGAAGTGGGCTTTGTGTTTTTGCATACCTTTGAACATTCTGCTTTGCCCTCCTTTGAAATTTGTCTCATTTAATATGTTTAAGGTTGGGTGGAGTGGAACCATGTAATATCTTTGCTATTTTGCTGGTGGCTTTTTAAACTTATGTTTTCTTAAATAATCACAACCTTTTTTGATCACACTTACTGCTATGCCATCCGTCTATTTGACAGCCCTTTTAAATCCATTAGTTTGATGGAGACAATGAGGTCTCAGCAATACTAGGTTTCTGCCAGTTTCATGAAAATCAGTGGCTGGGCAGAGGAGGTATAAATGAATTCTCCCATTAGAGAAAGGTCTACAGCACAAATTGCATTAGTGTTTCCTGCCATTCAGTTTAGGCATATTAAATGTCATTTATCATCTAGATAACTCAAAAGCAGGCAAATGCACATTCAGGAAACATAGGAAGGCAGGGTAGGGGCAATGGTGTTGGTAAGTGGAACGTATAAAGAGGTAGGATACAAAACTATAGAATTAATTTATTCTTCATTTTACAGAACAACATGTGTATGTTCATATCTAGCTGTATCAACTGCAAGGGTTGTGCATGTGTATGTTTTCAGTGATAGAAATGGAAGACTTCTTAAGATTTATTTAATGAAGTTTAAGATACAGTAAGGTCATAAGAGTAAGATTTTATTTTTTCCAAGCACATCATAATTAGATAATGGAGCTTTTTGGCACAAGATGTCTCTTCAAGCAAGGAAGGATTTGGACTGATCGAGCATTAAGAACATACAGAATTGTAATACTAAATACTGTGGGTATTAAAAGGAAAATTCCCCCTTTCAGGGATTAAGTTGCTTTGTTTTAGGTGTTAAAATATATTCCTGATAAATACATATTTTACTATATCTTCTACTTCAAATGTTTCCTTTGTATGTTTTTAAGAAAACATTAGGTAGTGGCTACTGCTGGATTGGATTGGATTTTTTGTCCTTTTTTTTTTCCCCTTTCTAGTTCAGTCAGGTGTTTTTTGGATTTGAATAAGAAATACTGGATGAAATTCAGTGCCTGCCAAGACCTTACTAATCTGTCAGACTGTATCTGCAGCCATAAAGAAAATGGGCAAGCAGCCGTTCTCTAGCCTTGAGGCCAAAACGCATGGCAAAGCTTGGATCTGCTCAGCTCAACTCCTTTATTCTGCAAAAGGGAATGACCCCATTCAAACTCCTCTGGCCTTGTTAAGCTGTGATTCTGTTACGAATATACGTAGCCTACCTACGTGTTCAGCTAACTAGTGTCAGAATCCTCTCTTAAACTGCAAATGAGAATGTCTGTGCAGTGCATTTCTGAATAATAAATCTGTGACACAGTTACTTGCCTGTTATCCGCAACAAAAGAATGTCTCACTGATTTGAGGAAATGAAATTGAAGATGGTTTATTTGGTAAATTCTTTTTTTTTCTCTCCCAAGTATATACTTAGATTGTAAAGTCACTAAGAAAGGAACTACATATCGAGGTGGGGTTATTAAAATAATGCAACAAGATTCTACCCATTAATCCAGAGTTTAGAAATATGTATGTTATGATAGTATGGGAGTTTACAGGCAGCTAAACCTACTAATCAGCGTTTACATTAAGTGGGCTGCATAGCAATTTTAGAAACTGCAAATTAAATATTCTGTTAGGACAAAATATCAGAATCAGAATTTTCCTTAATAGCTGTTTGTTCTTAGTTGTTTTCCAGTTTCAGCTTCTGACAAGTTGGGGTGATCCATACTACATTGGCCTGAATGGACTAGAGTTGTTCAATGAACATGGAGACCAAATCTTGCTAACTGAAAACAGTATCCTTCTACAGAGCAAGCACCTTGATACCTTTCAGATACAGTTTGCTCTCTTGCAGTCTGTCATGATGTTGGTTTATGATGGAGAATCTGCTATAAGAAGCCAGCTGTAAGACTAAGACATCTCTTAGTTGTTTGAATCGGGAAAAACTTCTGTGTTTCCATCACCTCTTCTTAAATTCTTACCCAGGCATTACATGATGTCTTAGAGTTGATTGTTAAGCAGTGCTAATAATAATCGTTGCATGTGCTTTCTTTTATTCCAGAGAGGAAAGTGTATATAGCAAGGTATTTTTATTTTGGAATGTATATGTGCTCATCTGTATTCCTATCTGTCTTATGCCAGGCAAAAAGAAAAATTTCATCTTATATTTAGAGCAGTTGATGATGGATCTGTGGGTCTTGACTCCCTGTGGGAGTCTCAGAGTCACCTGAGAAAACACTATTTCCAACAGAAATAATATTTTTTCTCTCCTGTGGAATCTTTCATTGTACCACAGGCAACATTCTTCGTGACTCTTGTTCTGTAGGTTTAGGCTGCTCTAGGCAGCGGGCCCAAGTCAGGAAGACAAGGGCTGAGACTTTGAATTTGATTTGAGGTTCCCAGGGAAACCAAGAGAGGGAATGAAGGACATGTCTGAAAGACTCCTGGTAATCAGGGTTGCTGAAGAGTTATACTTGTGCTCTGTACCAGCTGCAGTGTCTGTAAGAGCTCAAGGCTTCATATCCTAGTATATAATTAGGTAGCTTGATCACTATCCTGGAAGAAAGGATAAAAAGGGTTGATGCTGCCTGAATTGTGCATCTCTAAGATATCCATTGCCTAATATATAGAAGTTGCAATGAAAAAGGTTAAAGACTCTTTTTCAGTGCAGTATTTTTATTTATATGTTCCTTGATGTGTGATGAACTTCAAAAAAAAAATAGTGCTGTGGTGGGGAAGAAGTGTTTCAAAATTGAAAAGTGGCAATAGATTGTCTTTAGGAGCAGGCAATCTTTAAATGGTACATTTTTACAGTATAATGCAACTGCTAAGTACAGCTACCTCAGCTAGTTCTGAATGATCTTGTTCCTGTATCTACAGTACCAGTGCGTGGCTATATTAGGGTCCCAGAAAGAGCACAGCTGTACTAATGCAGTGCTAAATATGATGAGTCAGCTGTTGAGTGTGGAGCAAGCCTTTTTAAATAGCTGAGACTCCTCTGCATTCTGTGTTAAACTCCTCAGAAATATGAACTGCCTCAGGCCTTTTAGAAAGCAGGACAAGGAGAAATTAATGCCCCCCACCCCCCCAGCTGGATTGCTAGGCATTTATAATTCTGAAGATATTGCTGTCCATCTGCATTCTCCTGTCTTTAACAAAGATGTGTCTCATCAGGAGAAATTCTAGTTGTCTGGAAAGTTGGTTCAGTAGGAAGTTTATTCTTTTCCTCTCAAAGAACTAGATAGATAGGTTTTATTTTATATATATATATATATATATACACATATATATGCATATATATGTGTGTTTATACATACATATGTATCACACATCTCAAGGAACTCAGCAAAACCTAGTCACTCATGCCTGTTTCCTAAAGGGATATTCTCCTTGAAGGTACATTTTGTAAGAGGAGTTTTTGTTACCTCATGCTAAAAATCTGCCTTTGTCACCAAAATAGTGTAGGAAGTTCTCATTCTTGATAAAGGAACTTTATTGATAAGTCATAACTATTGAAATGAATCTATTTAATTTCTTAGCATTTTAGAAAGAATATTGAGTGCCAGAATCTGTAAGGATTGTCCTGCTTATAGAAAGGGATTTGGTAGTCAAATTCCTTGACTGCCAAAGTAGAGTGTTTTAGAGAAGTTTACAATCTCCACTACTGTAATGGAGATTGTATCTAGTTCATGGAATCCAGGAGAGCAAACATGAACTTTTAAATGTCTTATTTCCAAAATGTTCTTTGCAGTTATTTATGCTTAAAGTTTTGTTTCAGATATTGCTGCTTTCCCAGATAGCGTCAACATTTTAGAGGATGTGTCTGGAGACATCCGTACTCCAGATAAACTCATTGATGGAGTAAATGACACGACTGATGGCAGACATATGTGGCTTGCACCAGTGCTTCCTGGTGTGGTATGCATGTCTACCTACATTTTCCTTTTTCATTTAATTTTAGTGATGTGCATGGAGGTAGCTAGAAATATAAAAGTAATTCAAATAGTATTAGATGCTGCAATACAGTGGATATAGGTAAAGCTTTTATGCATGCTTGAGGCTACTGACCACATGTCTTTCTAAGGGAAGTAAACAGTAATAGCCTTTGTAATGCTTAAGGCTCTTAGTGTCTAAATTTTACGTTTTAAATGCCGGTAAACTACTTGATAGGGTTCTCAGGTGTTCACTATAATGACATGAATGATTGACTTGATGACCATTTTGGCTTGTACATTTGCTGTGTGCTAATCTCTATAAAATACGAGTTTGCAGAGGCTACCTCATTTTGGCAAAAGGGAAATATCAGTAATTGGAGTTCTAGCTTAGACACATACTGTTTTGTAGAAGGTTACATTCTTTCTAAAACCAGGAGAAGAACACAAAGTGTTAGTATTAAAAGGACAGATGGATAACAACAGAATTCCATTTGCTAGTTTGAAAAGCTGAAAGAGTTTAAAGAAAATATTATGTAGTAGCCTGCCTTTTTCTTTCCAATTCTCAACGTTTTTGTCTTTTGCAGAAGTATGGTGGTTTTAAGTTTAGAATTTCTTTGTTACCCTGTTTCTGTTTGTCTTTTTATGTATTTATCTGAATATATTTTCATCAGTACTTCCTGTGAGACTAAAAACAATTGCTACTGAGACCCAAACTCACATCATCTTCTGGAGGATTACAGATATAAACAGTTTTATTGATCCCAAGCAGTTCTTTCTCCAGTGGAGAAAATACAGCGTGATTTAGTACAAATACAATGCTGTCTCTGAAGAATCAAAGGATTAAATCACAGAATTAACAGTAACATCTGAGATGAGTTTCCTATATCCTAATCAATAATTTTCCTGAAAGTAAAGTGAACAGTATTTCAAGCCATAATTGTTTGGAAGTATCATGAGAATTGTCTCTTCATAGCTGTTTGTCCACCCCAGACCAAAGTTGCAGAAGGGCTCGTAAGGGTTTTAAAATGCAGGCGATATAGAAAGATGGATTCCATGTGTATATGTGTCCATATATTTGTATGAATATATACACACACCAGTTTGTCTCATCCTGATGTACGTGTTATCTATCTGGTTAATGAAATGTTCATTAAATGCATTTCTTTACCCAGCTGACGAGGAGTGCAGGATGAGGAGCTCAGATATCTAACTTTGATGAACTAGACGTACTTTCAAGAGGGCAGGGCTGGGTTATGAACAACATAAGAGAACTATCAACAGAGGTGATAACTTAAAACTTTACTATCCTTACCGTCTGTTATCTGCCCTTTAGCTGCATCTGTTTAAATACAGGCCAGTTTTGGTGGACCCTAGGTTAGAATTTCATTTTGCGGGATTTGTGCTCTTAGATGCAAATTAATCTTTGTCTCTTACAGGTGAATAGAGTATATGTTATTTTTGATGTGCCTACTACTGTGTCAATGATCAAGTTGTGGAATTACGCTAAAACACCTCAGAGAGGTGTGAAGGAATTTGGTGTAAGTTTAATTTTTTGAATGTGCCATTGACTGCACATGCTGTGAGTTCAGTATTTGTTTTCACAGATTACTAAAGTGTGGTTCTGTATAATCTCTAAATGATGGGATTCATCTCACTCAACTCTGCATTTTAATACTAAAATGACTACTCTGCGCTGGTCTTCTGTGCTGTCTTTCATGTCCAAGTAGAGAACAGTTTATCTTATCTGCCTCAAATAATTGTCCTGGGATAATGCTTTCCTTTCTCTACTGGCTGCAGAACAGGCCTAGCAGACCAGATCAAACTACATATCCAGTTTTGATAAATGTAAGGTGTAAGTAAGGTGAAAATCATTCATTCCAAGATTTAAGTTATATCATTCCAGTCAATAAAATGTGTTTATTGTAAAGTAATATCATATATTATTTTGCTACTTGGGTTCTTATTTGAAGCACTTGGTGAGGAGACAAACCTGATAAAAAAGAGGGGAAAAAAGGACTAATTGCTAGTTGAGAAAGATGGCATTTTTAAAAGAAAAAAGCAAAACCAATGACTTGAACCTGTTTTACAAGTGTTTGGGAAGACTGTTGAAGGCTATGCTTGCTCATTTAGATGCTCAAGGAAATAAAAACAAACAGTAATTTGATTCCTAGAAATATTTGTTTTTAATCTGTTTATTATCTTTAGCTTCTAGTGGATGACTTGCTTGTGTACAATGGAATCCTGGATATGGTGAACCATGTCATATCGGGCATCTTACCCACCTGTGATCCTGTGGTCCCATATCATACCATTCTCTTTACAGATGATGATAAGATTTGCCATCAGGAGAAGAGGAATGTTATTAGGTATGTGAGTGGATCTTTATTGAAATAAACAATCTCATTTTCCCAAAAAAAAAAAAAATTCTGTGACTAAAATCAGTGGTATGTGTATTGATGTAGAAGATTTGCTTCTGAACTATACTCCGCCTCAATTAATAGCAAATGATCAGTTGTTTTATATCATCGAGACCAAGTAGCCAGCGTTATTTGTGGGTAGTTCTTGGCATTTTGTAGGATTCTTGATTCATATTCAGACATACTTTCATGGCATTCCATGGTAGCAAATATCCAATAAAGAAGTTAAGTTTCCTTACAGTAGAAAGAATGGACCCTGATGTTTCTACACTATAAAAAAATAGGAAGCTAATGAAAAGGAAATGAACATGAAAATTGAGGATTGGTGCTACTTAGGGCATAAAACTCTGGTAGCTTAGAAATATTCTAAAATAATGAATGATTGTGAATAAGAAATGACTTGCATCCTGTGGAAGGACTCTTTTTTACAACTAAGTTGGAAATCTCATGCTTTCATAGAAAACATGATAAAATACAATGAAAAATACACTTAGAAAGCATTTAGAACGCAGGACTGATAGAATCTAAAAAAGGATAATTAAGAACATTTATTTTGGATGAGATTGGAAGCTTCAAAATTGAAGTCTTAGAAAAATAAATCTTCATACAGAAAACAGTTAACAACACAGTGCACATACATTGTTTGAAAACAAGCTAAAGCTTTGCATTCAGAAGGGGCATATGTTTCATTTGAATCATATTAAAATATTTGGAAACAAGTTTAGAATCCTGGAGGGAATGTAAGCTGATTCAGAACAGAGATTTGCATCTGCCTGTTCTGGTGTTTCTTTTGTTTTTCAAAGGGATTGGCTTTTTACCACTGGTACTGTCAGATGTGGGAATAAATGATCATTGCTTGCTGTATTGTTAGACTCATGTTTTTGCACAAATGAATGTGTTGTCCTGGTAAATTTTCCAAGTAAACAAATTTTCAGATGAAAAAGTGATTAAAATGAAAGTGCCTTGAGGAAATTAGTGTTTAAAGAAAATTTTCATCAGAAGACAGCAGTGAAGAGGGGAAATATTTATTTATTCAGCTTAACACCTTTGTATGACTTGAAGCTGTTTTATTGAAGAAAGAGAAGCTCTAGCTGTAATTGAAGATCATTTTCTTTTGTAAAAATGCAAAGCAATGACAACATCCTTAGGACATATTTATAAGACAAATATTCCTGCATTTCGTTTTAAAAAGTGTCACCCATGTTGCACAATCTGTTTTTCAGTCAGGATTATGCTGAGTCTCTTCCCTTCTAGACTTCCTCTGCAGGAGTTTTCTTGCTCTATTGTCTTAGTTACCCTGCTCTTTAGTCCTCAGTTCCTTTTCATCACATGGTACCCAACTAAAGGGATAGAGTAGTTTGTCCATAGAAGACAAATCTCTGGATACTTGCCAGATTATGTTCTTGTTTTAAGGGGTGCTTTTGCAGCTCTGTGTGAGGTGCTTTTTTTGTTTTTCTGTGTGTGTGTATGTGGTTGTTTTTGGTTGTTTGTGTTTTGTTTTACATTATTACTTTGGCATATTCTCTTTAGCATGTCACTAAATATGCAATATTGATGAGCAATATTTAATGAACCCTGGACTTGAGTCAGTTGTTATCATGAGTGGAATAAATTCTGATTTACTTCTGTATCGATTCTCCTGCTTTGGTTTGACGTTTGAGATATTACATTTTTCTCCAAGAAAACAAAGCTAGATTATGCAGTATTTTTTGAGAAAAGAAAAACCCTTTTTATTTTCCAAGAACATGGCTGTTTTGTTTTTGTCTATGTGAAAAGTAGATGTTACTAGAGATGACTGCTTCAGCTTTCATTTCAGCTCTTTTATTTCTTTTTTTTTACTCTCTGCGACTTGTTTAATTGAAATTTGAAGTTATTGCTGCCCTCTTGTAAAGAAATTAAGATTCTGCATAAGCTTGCAAACAAAACTAGTCATGGTAAATGAATTTTGTGCAGAAATTTCTGAAATAATGCTATATCAATATTACAAAGCAGTGTTAAGTTTCACACAGGGGTTTGCTCTCTGTATGATGTTGATTTAAAAATCCCACTTTGCTTAATGTAGCTCAAGCTGTATGTACATGTTAGAAGATTGTAGAGTGAAGGCAATATTTGTATTTGAATGTATATTTATGACAAAAATTAAGACTACAAAGAAATACTTCAAGTAGGTGTGGATAGAATGCCCTATGTTTTTAGGAAGTCTCGTGTAACGTGGTTGTGCTTTCTAACTTTGTTTAACCTTGTGGACCTAAATAACAGACTTAGTCATGAGAGTCATGTGAAAGGATACTTCCCATAACAGTGAGTTTTGGCCATTGAACTGATTTTAATCTTTTCAGCAATCATGTGGAGGATCAGGATGTGAGAATGATGAATGAAAATCAAATTGTCACAAACACCAAAAAGAAGCAGATTATGGCTGATCCAGGTTTGTTCTAATTTTTACAATTTTCTCTTGCTCATTTTCTGTGGAGTCAGTGTGGATAAAAGGCATTACTACAGACCTGACCAGTGAAAAGGGGAGGCTTGTACCTCTTTTATATTTTCAGCTATACTATCTGTTATGAGAGCCAACTTGGAATATCACACTTGATTTTTTTTTTTTTTTCCTTTTTTCATATTTAAATCTGAAAGTGGCTGATACAAAGCAAGGACCTCTGTGGGAACATAGCTGTAGCTTATACCAACACATACAACTATCACCTTGCAATAGAAACTGAATTAAGGGAAACAAGTATAATTGTGCTGGTCTAAAGATAACTTTCCAGTTAATAGGCTCAGTGCATCTCCAATTAGTTGGTTGTTCCTCCTCAAGTAAGCCCAAAATCACAATCATTGAAACTAGGGAAAACAAAACATTGACGTTATTGCTACAGCTATTTTTCTGGTTGATCTTCTCTTGCAACATGATAATTTAGAAGATTATGTTTCCCCCCCAACATCCTGGGGCAGAGGCGGGAAATACTAGATTTTATTTATATCCTTGAAGAATTCTAGTCATTCATAATATTCAGGGAGCTGTTCTGAGCAATTTACGTTATGAATTCTCTGGCAAGCCAGTATATTCGTGATTGGTTTTCTCCCTTGTGTGACACTTTCTCCAATTAGTTTCTCTAAAAAGTGTTAGAGAAATTATTCAATGGCTTTTAATAACAGTGCTGTAAGAGCAGGATTTGAAATGCCGTTGCCTGTGCAAATATAGCTTCAAAGCTATTAGTACATTAGCACAAACTCTATTAAAACTCTCCTAAATGCAGCTTTGTGCATGCTGTAATGACATCTTGAGTTGCAGTATAGACATACCCTGCAGACATCCAGTAAAGAATATATGTCACTGCTGTCACATTTCTTGTCCAGGCATTAAGGAGACAGAATACCTTTCTCCTCACTTAAAAGTGGGTCAGTGCTCATTTGTCACTTTGAAGGCATCAGATGAGGATTATTTGCTTTTATCTGTCCACTGTCTCTGTAGTGCACTTACAGATACAGATGTGAGCGTGGCTGATACAGGATCACAGAATGATTTGGATTGAAGGGAACTTCAGGATGTCTGTGGTCCAACCTCCTGCTCAGATCAGGGTAGCATGTATTCCAGACCAGGTTCTTATGGGGAAAGAGATTTTCTTCTCAGTTTGTGCTCTTTTTGCCAGCATTGAGTTCAAATAACGCTTTTCTCCTCACCCTGTTGCCACATCCTCTATCTTCCTTTATTTTTTTCGCCATATCCAGACTGTTCACTAAAAAAAAAAAAAAAAAAAAATCCTAAATTCATGATAAATTAGCCGGATCTGGTCTTTGAAATCATTAATGTAGAATATTTCATTAAAATATTGCTGAGAAGGTGGTCCGAAAGAAACAGTGAGTGACAGTGGGCTTTGGTTTACAAGAGAACCATGGTGTGTCATTCTGCCGCCGTTGCTTTCCACATGACGTGTCTTGATTCAGCTTCTACCACTGTTCTAGACCCTGTGCTGTCCACTGCAGGGCAGAACCTGTTATGTAATGCCCACAAATGCTTTTCAGCCTCTAATTAGAATAATAGATCAAACAGTTACCTCCTTATCCCGATTCAACTGTTTCATATCCTAGCTCTCAGATTCCTCTATCTGTAGAGGAGAATTTGGAGCTGCTCACTTGTGCTGAGACACATCACTGAGAAGAAGAGCTTAGTCTTCTCTCTGGGGTGGAAAGAAAAATGGACATTTTTCCCCTTTCTAGTCTACAACTTCACTATTGAATTCAGATACAGTCTTAAAATGAAATTTAAATTTCCTTAACAGCTTTACGTCCAAAAACCTGCTTATGTGATAAAGGACTACTGAGGAAGAAAAGATAACAAGGGCTTATGAGCGGATAGTCCTGAATATATCCAGCCCTGGATACCTGCCACCTAATATCATCTGAATGGAAGATATTTCCTGCTTGCTACTGCTGAACTTCCTCCAGTCTTATGAGAGGAAGTTTTATCCACTACAGGAAACTTTCTTCAGTAATGAATTTTAAAGCATGAACTTAAAAGTTTTCTGGGTTTGTTTTTTTGTTTATTTGTTTGGGATTTTTATTACTATTATTTTTATGTACTGCCCGAGGTTTTTTTCCCCTCTCTTAATTGAAAATCTAGGTAGAAAGCAGTGTGAAGGAATACAAACCTCATTGCTAACTGACACTAGAAGGATGTGTCTGCTGTATTTCTGTTCAAAAAGTCTGTTAGCAGTTATTTGAAAAATGCACTTAGGAGAAATATTCTTTATCTCTCTGCCTGGGTAACCATTCTACCTTTTTATGCCTGAGCTTTTTTCAGGAACTGACATTATTTCTGAGGTTTGAAGAATTTTTGCTGGAAAAGCAGAGGTATTCTAGAAAATGGAGACCAGGAAGTGAGTTTAGCAAGGTTTGATACGTAAGTTCCACCTGTCACTTCTGTCAGTCGTTACAGTGAAATAATGGCTTCTTTTATTATTTCACTATCTGGAGGGGGAAAAAAAGTGTTTTGTTTTGGAGTCCTATCCACTGACTGTCTGCATCCTTCAGAGTCATTCTGCTATACAGCAACGCTGCTCTTCCCCGTTTTATCTGTTCTTGGTTATGTTAACAAGGAAGACTTACCATTATGCTGCACCAACAAGATCTATTGCTAGCAACAGATCATCCCTTCTGAAAAACATTAAATGTGTTTTAACTAGTAATAGGTTAACTGCCCATTTAAAAAATGCCAAATAACTTGTGTTAGTCAGATAACTGAACACTCATACCAAATAATCATGTTGCAGAATTTGTAACTATGCAAATGTTCTTTTCACTGAAATCTTGTCAGTGGTAGCAACCTGTAAATGTCTTCCATAGAAAAGATTCTCCCTTTCCCATTTGGAGTTTCCTGTTTTCAGAGACATATGAAAACACTGAAATCAGTGAATGCTTTTAAATGTGAAAGAGAGACGCTGTTGCAGCTCCTGACAGAGCAGCCAAAACTACTGCTTGCCTTTCTATACTACATCAGGAGTGCAATATTGTCTATATTTGTTTATAAAAAGTGTGCTTTGTAGCTGTAAAGACTGAAAACAGCAATGCATTCCCAGATGCCTATGCACTGATGAAGCAGTAAAATATATTTTTTACTAAATGCAAAATACTTTTTACTTCTAATTGTAAAGTAGATGTATATTTCTTTATAATATCAATAAAAGTTATGGATTTGAATTCTTAGTATTTTAGTTACTAGCATGACAAATGTTCTCTTGTTAAACTGAAAGATAAAAATAAAATATAATTTTACAAAGCTTGGTTAAGAGTTTGGTTTTCTATAAATTGCTAGCTGAATGAAAGTGCCTTTTGGTCATCGGGGGCATTTGTAATAATTATTAAATATGTGGAACATCTTCAACTCTTAGTTTTTCCTTTCATTACTAGGCTTCGTAGAATAGAAAGTGCAATCCATTTTGATAAGGTGAAATTCAAATAATGCACGTGCAAGAATTCTCTGAAGAACACTGGCAGAGTTTAGATGAATCAGAATAAGGATTGTCATATTCCAGGTAGACAAAAGGGTGAGTCTTGTTCTGAGGCTGATTTGACAGCCAGCAAGAAACTTCACGTCTATGTGAGTATATCTCACTCTGTTTAAAGCTTCTTCCCAAGTAGCACTGGCAAAATGTCTGCTGCTGTTAAAAGAACTCTTCCCCCTCTGTGCAGTTACCAGTGTAACACTATTTGTGGATGAGAGGAGACCTGTCAAATTGTCTCTTTTTTCCAAGAAAACTGCATTGAACCTGGAGAGAGATGGGTCTGGGGAAACTCATTGTCCATTCTAGCAGAGAACAGCACCCTTACGGATCCAGCAAAGGTATGAGGGGAGGAAAGGATCTTCTCTGTTCTCTGCATCTGATGGATGTGAGATGCTCTGCAATCATGCAGGATAGAATCCTGTTTCTCCAGTCCTGGTGCTGTGAGTTGTGTAAACTGATGTAAAGTACATGCTTGTTCTCAATTAGGTCTTCGACAAAGCTGTAACCTTCAAATGAGAAGCTGAAGGCTGCATACCACTTCCGCCTGTCTGCTGCATCACCACCAAGTCCTGTCTTCAGTAGAGGATAATGAGGATGGTCTTCAGAAACTGCATTAACAGGTAGCCTAGACAAAGTATGTGTTTGTGATCCAGCCCTCATGACCTGTGAGTGGAAGACCTGGCAGAAGTTGAAATAGGGCAACGTTTACTGCCCAGGCTAATTCACTCAGAAGTTCTGAACTGACAGTTTAGTAGGTGGTGGCTGGTCACTTCATTCCTTCTGGGCACTGCTCTATTCAGTTAGGGAGAGTTGTGTCCTGTGACTGTGTCTGCTTCTCAACCACTAATGTTTCTTCTTTTGTTGGTAACTGCAGCCAGCTTCATGTCTTTTGCCTCCAGCGCTCTGTAGGTAGTGCAGCTGGCCTGATATTCGATGTGCTGGCTTGTACCTTCTCATAGCCACTGGGGTCTCCAAGGAACAGCAGCTCCTTTTACCAGTTCAAGAGACTCCTCCCAGTTGCCATACTGTGAAGATATTGTAAGAGTCCTTTTAAAGCATTGTCAAAAATAGTTAAGTTGTGGAACATTCTCCTCTGCAGTGTCTCTCTGAAAGAAAAGTTTCCCAGCCTTCAGTGTGCTCTGGGATGACGTGTCACCTAGTCAAAGCCTAATGAAGTCCTTGACTCTTGTCAGTCTACACTGAGAGTAGCATGGTGTTTAGATAATGCTTCATTAATCTCTGTAGAGTAGGAGATGTCAGCTTCTGCTTTCCTAATCATATCTGAAATGCAATCCTTTATATAACTACAGATAATTGTGTCCTACTCATCCCTATATGTTCAGACATTCTACTCTGTGGATATTAGACTTATCTCCCTACTGAATCAGGGGGAAAAAAACAGGTTCTTTTCCATTTCCCCTTTATTTCACTTATCAATGCTTAATCACGAGTAAAAATATGTCAGACTAGTACTTACAGGAGGAAACAAAGAAAAAGTAAGCAAGCAAGAATTCCCAGAGAGCAGACCAGTCAATGTTGGTCACTGTTTCACTAAGAATAATCCGCAGGCAGCAGTCACATGTCATTTGACATTGCCAAAAGCATGGCAAAGGAAGAAGACGGATTAATATGACTTCTTGCTTAAGCCTTTAAAGTAAATTATTAAACTTCAGGTTTAGCCCAGTTCAATTTCTGGGCTGCTCAACAACATTCATGTAGTTGCTCACCTCTACTTCCATTGCCTTGCTCTGAAGGGGTTAGATCAGAACAACAAAAGTGAGTTTTTATCCCATGATGATAGTGAGAAGGGCAGTGGGTTTTTTAAAAAGTGAAATCTCTGAAAGACCACATCTTATGCTGCATTCTTTTGATTTTAGAAAAATTTTTATAGAGGTATTTTTATCTATTTTCACAGTGGAATCTGAGAGCCAGGGTGTGTGAGACAGCCTAAAACTTCAGTTTTCAATTTCTGTCTTTCTGTGGCTTGATCCAGTAGAATTTAAATGCATTTCCTGGTGAGAAGCACTGCTTTGTGGATGAAGAAAATGATGAAGACAGTGTAACAGCACAGCATAGAAAGCACTGGAATTTCTCTAATAATGAGCCCAGAGAGGATTTGCAGAACTCTAAGGTCTGGGATGTCAATTAGATCTTGTGTCACATACTTCTGTACTTCGTCTGTGCGGCTTTCCCCTTAGTGAAGATCCCAAGGCTCTACCCTGCTGCTCTTTGAGGATGAGAAGCTGAGAAAATACATAAGGTAACTAGCTTAACTCAACTCAGTTTTTCACCTGTGCACAGGCTGTCAGAACTTGGATGTTAAATTGCACCTCAGCATCCTGCTTAGCTGATCATAGAATCATAGAATCATAGAATGCTTAAGGTTGGAAGGGACCTCTACAGGTCATCTAGTCCAACCCCCTGCACTCATAGGGTCACCTAGAGCACATGGCACAGAACTGCGTCCAAGCAGGTTTTGAAGATCTCCAGAGAAGGAGACTCCACAACCTCTCTGGGCAGCCTGTTCCAGTGCTCTGTCACCCTCACTGTCAAGAAGTTTTTCCTTAAGTTCCTGTGGAACTTTGGATGCTTAGGTTTCCGGCTGTTTTCTCTAGTTCTGTCCGTGGCCACCACTGAAAAGAGGCCAGCCCCATCCTCCTCACTGCCTCCCTTGAGGTACTTATAGACACTGATTAGATCCCCTCTCAGCCTTCTCTTCTCCAGGCTGAACTTGCCCAGCTCTCTCAGTCTCTCCTCACAGGGCAGATGTTCCAGGCCCCTGATCATCCTTGTAGCCCTGCGCTGGACTCTCTCCAGCAGCTCCACATCCCTCTTGTACTGTGGATCCCAGAACTGGACACAATACTCCAGATGCGGCCTCACCAGG